AAGAGAGTGAGAAATGGGATTAAATGTCCACTCGACACAAACTAGGTCATTTTTGGAATAACATATTGTTTAATTTCATTTCAATAATTAGCTTGCGCGTAGGGGTCTTTAGCAGTGGGAGGAAACCTGGGGACCCGGAGAAAACCCACGAGGTTGGTCAGGCAACCCTACTCCTTGTCACGTACAACCGGAGAATCGAAACCACGCCAGTTGACTCAATGACAGTTTTTATGATACAACGCGCATGCGCTAACCATTCGGCCACCCAATTTCCTAACATTTAAAATAATTAGATGTACATGTATTTAGAAAACAATTAATAAGGAAGTTTTAGAAGACTTACGTAAATATTTCTAGATATCTGTTGGTTGTGTGACATTTTCTTTATAAAACGTTAGAATAATCACTACCCATTCCAAAATAAATTGATTTTATTATTTGTTACAGAACCAAACAGTGGAATGTATTTGCGGAAACGTCATCCGAGCAAGGTACTCATTCGGAAAGGCGGAGGTGGAGGACAATTAATGTAATAGTGAAAATTGTGCTTTGCACTATTTTTTTCTTTTTAGTATTGGGAACAGCAACTCTATCTAAACTGACCTTTTTATATATGACGTTTTACATTAATCCCGGAGAAGGTTTTAGTTTTAAACATCAAGATGTTCACAATAAAAACAAGACTTTTCACTACGAGCTGAAAAAACCAGTTCCAAATCATACTATGGATGTAAAATGGATCTGGGCCATTATTCTGATTCTGTGTTCTCAATATTTGTTTACTGTGATATTTTCCTTATGGACGATTATTTTTAAGAAAACAGTTCCTATCAAATGTGTGGCATTAATAATGGTAAGTCTGTGCAATATTTCAAAACTGTATTTTTCCCAAATGAAAACGTCTTCTTTGCAATATTTTCAAAACTTGATTTTGTCCGAAATCAAAGCTTTTTCCTAAAAGGAGCATAATGGTCGATTTTGGTCACATTGAGGCAGTTCACTATTGATTTTAGACTCTACAATTAAAAAATAGCAATTTGTATTACTCTTTTATCTCCAAAATTTGGTTCCAAAAATGGTACCTCTGGCCCCGACTTTACAAACCATTCTCAGACTTAAGTTAAGAATTTACTCAACTTTTAATAACTGTTTTGGTCCAGAAACACAAAACTTTGCACATAGTTTCTTATTGATGTATTTGATACATTAAAACAACAAAATTTTAAGTTTTATAACGGACTATATTTTGGTTAAAATAAGGCGAACAATTTTGAGTAAATTCTTAATTTAAGTTTGAGAATGCTTTGTGAACTCGGTGTGCGGCGCCGGATTTAGATAAAAAGATAACTCAGGGAATACAACTTTTGGGATCCATCCCACTCCCCCACGCTCGCGAATAGATCAAGATGAATGTGTGAGCAGAAATTCGCCCGTGTATCTGTTATCGCTCGTCACTTCAGTCAGATATATAGAGGGGTAACTCGTGTTTTCCTTTTGCGTTCGTCACTTCCGATTGTTGAAATCTTCCTAACACATCTATCGTAGCAATGATCCCTGTTTTAAAATTATATTTGGAACGTGTTTAACCAGTCCTATCACATATGTGTTAATGACTGGCACCAATATTGTCCTTTAATTCCTATAAACTTGAAACTTTAGTTGCCTAATCGGGTGAAAATCAGGGGACCCACCCATTGTCCATATTCACATAAGCCATATAGACCAACCCTGAGCACGATGTAGTAAAAAGTTGAAAAAGTTAACTCGATTATCCAGAAACTGGACTGTTATCACATTGACTATCGTTACGAGAATATAGACGTCGATTGCAATAAGGATAAAAAAAACAACAACATATAACTGTAATGTTTCGAAGACTTTTGGTGGAACGTTTGTTGCGTCTAACTTTCTCCAAAGTACCATTGCCAAAGGATTTTTTTAATGTGCACAATTAGCAGTGCGGGAAACCGGGGAAGCAAGAGAAAACACACGAAGTTGAACGGGCCTACTCCTTGTCACGTACAAGGGAGGGGGGGGGGGTCGAAACCACGCCGGTTAACTCAATGGCAGACCTTATGATCTAAAGCGCACGTGTTAAACGATTCGCCCCCCCCCCCACCACAACCCCTAACTAAGTATCGGAAGTGTCAATCAACTAAGTACATATATATGTAATTGTACCTTTTTATTGCAGACACTTGTTACAGAAACACTACACACTGTTGGTCTGAGTATCTTTATTTTCTACGTTCTTCCGAGCTTCGATCCACTCACGGCTTGTCTACTAACGTGGAATGTAGCAGCCATACCCGGAATTCTTAAAATATTTCTCCCGGATGAACCATCTTCTACTTCTCTAATCCCAGACACCAAAATCCCTGAGGACTCAAAAACCACGACTAAATCCTGTTGTCGTAAGATCATTGATGTTACCATTGCAATTCTTCATCTTGGGTCAATGGCAGCTTGGGTTTACCAGTCGTATTACGATCGCGATATATACGTCACAATACTTCTACCTGTTTCTTTAACACTGATATCCTTATCGTGGTGGGAGAATTTCGTTGCTTTGCCAAAGAAAAAAGATGCTGGCAATGGGTGTTTATCGTCCATGAAGGAATCTTTGGGGAAAAGAAATGTTAAAACCATCTTCATTGCAACCGTCTGGAAGATTTTGCTAACTATTGGTTTCCCAGCCTTGTTTTTTTCTTACAGTAACATTGAATGTGTCGAAACATTTTTCTTCCTACGGAAATTAGGAACCAACTGTTCAGTGTTCGGGAATATAACGCTGATGGATGATCGACCTCCAATATATGAAACAGATTGTCATAATATGATACCCTTCTTGGTGGCTTGCGTTAACATCATATCTAGTGTTATATGTTATAAAACTGGGAAATCAGCTTGTAAGATCTTGGCACAGGTGCCATGTTTCACGCTACCTATCATGTTATCTGGACCACTCTCAGTAGCCATACTTCTCAGTACCTACACATTTCCAGAAGAGGTCTCTATCTTCATGGGCTGCTCTGCTCCTTGGGTAGATATCGGCACCTCCACCATAGGTGATTTTTTGTTTCATTTTACTGTAGAATGGTGGATTCCAGTAGGATTTGTGGGCTATGTGTCCATGTTATATATTGTAGGTCATACATTTTCACCCAGATCGGATAGACTGGCTAGAACTGATAGGTACGTAAACACCTTTCCTATATTCTATGCATTTTAAACATACTTATATCCTCTTCCTTGAGAGGTTTGAGATCTTTTTAAATTTACACGCACTATTTTTAAAGAGAGAGAGAGAGAGAGAGAGAGAGAGAGAGAGAGAGAGAGAAATGGGACTTAACGTCAACTCGACATAAACTAGATAATTTCGGGACTAACACATGGTTCAATTTTATTTCAATAATTAATAATTCGATTGCGCGTGGGTGTCTTTAGCAGTTGGAGGAAACCAGAAGACCCGAAGAAAACCCACGAAGTTTGACAGGCGACCCTACTCCTTGTTACGTACAACCGGGGAATCGAAACAACGCCATTTGACTCAATGACAGACCTTACGATACAGCGCGCCCGTGCTAACCATTCGGCCACCCAACCCCCCAACTCAAGAAGAGATGAAGAAACTTCAGATTGACCAAACCCTGATTTGATACGTTATTCATTGTAGGTTGTTTTTAAAACCATTGTTTTGTGGTGTATTGTTAGAACAATCGATGCTGCTAAACAGAAGACGGGATGAAGATGACGGACGAAAACATAAAGTAAAATTCGTGTTCACAGCCCTTTTATTTCTAATAACCCACTACTATATTCCAAATAACCATAACCCAAGGCTATATTTCTATTAACCATAACCCACGGCTATATGTCTAATAACCATAACCCACGGCTATATTTCTAATAACCATAACCCACTACTATATTTCTAATTACCATAACCTACTACTATATTTCTACTAGCCATAACCTACTACTATATCTTTAATGACCATACCTTAATGCTATATTTCTAATTACCATAACCCACTACTATATTTCTACTAGCCATAACCCACTGCTATATTTCTAATTACCATAACCCACTACTATATTTCTAATCACCATAACCCACTATTATATTTCTAATCACTATACCCTACTACTATATTTCTACTAGCCATAACCCACTACTATATTTCTAATAACCATAACCCACTACTATATTTCTAATCACCATACCCTACTACTATATTTCTACTAGCCATAACCCACTACTATATTTCTAATTACCATAACCCACTACTATATTTCTAATCACCATAACCCACTACTATATTTCTAATTACCATAACCCACTACTATATTTCTAATTACCATAACCCACTACTATATTTCTAATAACCATACCCTACTACTATATTTCTAATAACCATACCCTACTACTATATTTCTAATAACCATACCCTACTACTATATTTCTAATAACCATACCCTACTACTATACCATACCCTACTAGTATATTTATAATAACCATACCCTACTAGTATATTTCTAACCATACTCTACTCCTGTATTTCTAGTATATAGTTTTGAGTGAGGTCAAGGGGATTACCCGAAAAATGTATAAAACCAGAAGTTTGAGGGAATATGTCTGCCCATTTAGATGCAAACATGTAGATGCTTAGAGTGTAGTGAGGCAACACCGCGGCAATGCTTCGCACGTTTGTTTGGTCGACGTTATTTCAATCTGACGCTTAGGCTTACACACATGCACTTCGTTATTATCCCAAAGACTAAACGTTTTTCCCTGCCAGACCTTCCATCATGTACCATTGGACACTGTTCTACACCCCCACCCCACCACGCCCCCTATTTTTCAGGAAAAACCATGCTAAAAATCCGGAGGAATTTTATCGGACAACACTTAACCTGAGAACCCCTGGTTACTTGGACAGCACCATAGTCACCTAACGAGTGGACATTAAAACTCATTATATTTTCTCTTTTTCAGCTGAAAGGTAAATGGACTTTGGGAGATACAGACACAAAAGAGACAGATGATCCTAAAGGAGAGAAGAAAGATGACGTAGCTATGATATATATCTGTGCCACCATGTGGCATGAGACTGAACAAGAAATGATTAACATGCTAAAATCTGTCTTTAGGTATTTCATTTCTTTCCCTTTATTTGGGAAGCTGGTATGATATAGTTCATCTGGATTTTCCGGCGTGGTTAGTGGTATAGAGCGGAGGGCCTGGCAAGAGGCAACGTATAGTCGTTGGGATAGGAGGAAAAAAGCGAGGTCCTGTGTACGCGTCCACGTAGAAGAAACCTTAACAGTTGGAATCCGAAATAAGAGTAGGCCGTAGTCCCGCGGTCCAGGCAAAATTTCCCTCTGCATGGCGTATGTCCGTCTTCATTAGCCCAGTAGGAGCAGAACAGTAGGAGACTACAGATGGTGATGGTATATTTATGCAATCCGCTGGTGACGCTTGTAAAATGTACTAGACAATGGTGGGTGTGGGATGGGGTTGGGATGGCCGAATGCGCTGCATCATAAGGTTTTTGATTGATCAGTCAACTGGCGTGGTTTCGATTCCCCGGTTGTACGTGACAAGGAGTAGTGTCGCCTGTCCAACCTTGTGGGCCTTCTCCATGTCAATGGAGAATATGTGATTCGCATTTTCGCCTATGGGATTATCAATCATAAATAGCCAGAATAATGTGAATTAATTGGATATTATTCTTAATTCTAGGTTAGGATATCTGTTACATTATAATATTCTGTCAATGGAGAAGATGAGATTCGCCTATGGGATTATCAATTTTAAATAGCCAGGATAATTCCGAAATAATCGGAATTTTTTTTAAATTCTAGGTTAGACTCTGATCAAAGTGCTAGAAAGTTGGCCCAGTCGTATTTTGGATTGACAGATCCTGATTATTACGAGTTCGAAGGTATCGATATAAATAAATATTAAACATACATTATGCAAGAGCCAAATCTGCCAGTTGCAGGTCTTTCTTTAGGTCTTAAAATGTTATATAAACTATCAATTAGACATTAATTAACTTATCCAGACCATAATCAACCCTCGATGTCATCGAGGATCCGATCTGCTGCCCAACGCTCATTCATTATTAAATCAAGCAATGGATAATCGAGACTATGTTCTTTATCGTACCGACTTTAGTAATGATGATAGAGGCTAGGCCCAAAATTTAATCGCTAAATTCTCGGTTCAGAGTGGATCAATTTGACTGAAATTTTCAGCAAACCCCCTTTACATTACCTAGTTTTTAACTAATATAGCGAGAACTCTCAGCTCTTTATCTAACCTCCCATAATGTATCTTTAAAAAAATATGTAAAGATCGATATTGCTGAAATGGGTAAAGATCGATATTGCTGAAATATACGACGTGTACATTGTTTTAGGGTCTTGTTACATGGCTAACAATTATTTTCTGCCCCACCAAAAAGTAGGACACTTAGAATATTTTCTTTGTTGTAGCACACATATTTTTTGATGATGCATTTCAAGCTCATGACGATACATGTGTAGATTTTCGGGTCAACGATTTTGTTAAACAGCTGGTGAGGGTTATGCAGCGAGCAGCAAGGTACGTTGCAGCCATTGTTGTATGGAAGTTTATTTGATTTTTTTAAACGTATATATTTATTGCAAATTATTATCGAGTGTCTGGGAATGGCTCAGGCTCACTAACCAGTAGGTCCCAAGTTCGATCCCGGTGGTTTTGGCCAAGAAAATTCTTCTGGATTTTCCAGGCTGGTTTTCTCTTGTCAGTAATGCAGCACGGAGGTTCCGAGTTCCATCCCTGCGTTGGCTGTGAAGGTTCTTCGGCTTTTCTGGCCTGGTTTGCCCTCGTCCATGGTGTAGACGTGCCTAGCACTGAAAAACAGAGATCCCTGGTATACAATTGGCAGCTTGATAGTTTGAAAAAGAAATAAGAGTGGGTCAATGCAAAAGTGCCCCCCACTGGCGTATGTCAGTCGTCATTATATATATATATATATATATATATATATATATATATATATATATATATATATATCGGTTAGAGAGAGAGAGAGAGAAATGGGGTTTAACGTCCACTCGACACAAACCAGGTCATTTCGGGACTAACTGCCTTTGGCAATGGATAAAACCCACGACCATACTCCTTGTCACGTACAACCGGGGAATCGAAACCATGCACGCCATTGTATACTATTTTCATTATAGTGATATTCATGGTGGAGGTATGGAAATTCAATCACCAGTGAAGGTTGCCACGCCGTATGGTGGCAGATTAACATGGAACATGCCTGGCGGAAACAAGATTATAGCCCATGTCAAGGACAAAGCGAAGATCAGACATCGCAAACGCTGGAGTCAGGTATTCTCCTTGTTGTCACTTTCTTCCTCCTCTTCATCATCATCTCATGTATCTTTACCAATGGCATTGTCATCCTGGTTGTCACCATCATCTCCACCGCCATCTTAAGCGTCTACTTCGCCATCATCCCTTAACTCCCCTCCCCTCCTCTATCGCCGAATAATTAGTATTACCTTCTTCACAATCATCATCACTATCACCATCGCCAGCATCATCATCATCATCATCATCATCATCAGCTTCAGCATACCAGCCATCGTTGGACACCTTGCAATATAGCATATTTGGAGGGATTTTAAAACAAGCATCCCCTGTTACAGGTGATGTACATGTACTATTTTCTTGGGTATCAATTACTCAGTAAGAAAATGTCTATGAAGCGAAAGAAGATTCGAGCAGAGAACACCTACCTCCTAGCTTTAGATGGAGATGTAGATTTTCAACCCATGGCTGTACAGATATTGGTGGATAGGATGAAGACAAACCCTAATCTAGGAGCGGCCTGTGGTCGCATTCATCCCATTGGTTCTGGTAGATTTACTATTTATTATATGAGGAAATATTTTACTGTGCCCAGAGCCCAATTCCAAACTAATTAAAAATAGATGGTATTTTGTTTCGTCTTTATGTTTCTGATGCATATTCAGAGCGGCTGCAGGTAGGGCGACTGGTATAGGCTGCATTATGCACGGGACTTTATAAATACTTCAGTTGCTGGAACAACAGAGGTTTCAACACTGATAAAACTTATTAGATGTTAAGTAAAACTGAGCCCGGTTGAATATACAATACGAAATATAAAACGAATAATTCCAATTTAGAATCACCGGATTTTAATCAGAGTGAATACATTCTAACATACTGTGAGGTAAATACATAAAATTACAAAGTAACAGAATAAATTACCCTTTGAAATTGACTACTAAAACAGCTCAGCATTCTTATCAAATCATCTTCTGACGTAGCTCTTGGATAAATCAAACGAATCACTGCGTTGAGAGTACCAGAGATAGTCTGGTCAGCTATGGTCTCTATTATGATTGGGTAAAGATTATAGACAGGTCCTGTCTCCGACCCACTATGTCTTATGCCGAACTACCATGTTGTTGGTTTTCACTAATACTCGGTTATTTTATATTTCTTTTGTTCCAATGTTGATCTGTTAGACTTACACATTGGGCTCAGATGACCAGACTCTCTAAATGTATCTTTCCATAAAACCCGATATTGATAAACCATCTGAACTTTTGAATTAAGATTATCCATTTATCTACTAGGACCAATGGTGTGGTATCAGAAGTTTGAGTATGCAGTAAGCCATTGGTTAGCTAAAGCCACAGAACATATGTTAGGTTGTGTTCTGTGCAGTCCTGGATGTTTCAGTTTGTTCCGTGGTTCAGCTCTGATGGATGATAACGTCATGAGGAAATACACAACTCCACCAACTGAAGCCAGACACTATGTACAATATGATCAAGGTGAGAGAGAGAGAGAGAGAGAGAAATGACAGCTAAATATTGAAACAACAGTATATATTCGCTATGCTTTTGTCGAGAATAATATTTATCTGTGTACCAAGTAGCTTGAACTTCTCATCGCACCGGTTTCTCTACAAACTTTTACTTCGCTCGCGGTCTGCTTGCTGCAATTTGAGCATGTATCTTTATTCGAATGATGAATTTTGTTATCACACCGTTGCCTTGACAACAGGTGTTCTGGCCTGATTAACCCATCGTAAGACATACTCATGCTCGGAAGTCTAACATCATAATTTCAAAAAGCACTTAAAACAACTAAACCGCCTTGATTTAAGTAGAAATAAAGCATGTTCGGTTATGTTGGTTTGATATGTTATTTTCAGCGGTGATGGGTCAAGTTGTTACGCGATTAAACATTTTTTTAAAAAGTAATCGTAAGTCGTCTTGTTAACTAATGTTAGATTTACTAATCAATGTTTTGACATACTATGTCGACTGTGGAATCAAAAGTCGGTTATATTTCAACATATTTATCTTTATCGGAAGACTGTCTTCCAGACCATAATTAACTCTCGATGTCATCGCTAGTCTGCGATATTTACTGGATTTAAATCCGATCTGCTGCCCAACGCTCATTGATGATTAAATCCAAAAATGGATAATCAAGACTATGTTTTTTTTTAACGTACCAACTTTAGTAAAGATGATCGAGGCCAGGCCTAAAATTCAAAAGCTAATATCTCGGTTTTGAGTGGATCAATTTGACTGAAATTTTCCGCAAATTCCCTTTACATTATCTAGTTTTTAACTATTATAGCGAGAATTATCAGCTCTTTTTTGCTAACCTCCCATAATGTCTCTTTAAACTTCATATGCAGGTGAAGATAGATGGTTATGTACGTTGTTGCTACAACAGGGTTATAGAGTTGAATATGCTGCGGCGTCTGATTCCTATACATTTGCACCAGAAGGATTCTATGAGTTTTACAACCAAAGGCGAAGATGGACCCCTTCCACCATGGCTAATATCCTTGACCTTCTGATGACGTGGACAGCAACGACTAAAAAGAATGAAGATATTTCCTGGCTGTATATGTTTTATCAAACTAGCTTACTTACATTCAGGTAGGCTCTAAACCTTATGCTAGGTTCACACTTTCACGATTCGCTCTACGATTGAAATCGTGGTTTTAATCGTTGGGCAATCGATCATGGTGATCTTATCAGGTTTTATCATATATTGTGGTCAGTCGTATCGAAACGTATCCGAACGTATCTGCACGTACCAGATCGTGGACGACTCGATTAGGAACGACCATATCGTACAGTGGGAACCTAAATGAAATGAAATGAAATGGGGTTTAAGGTCCTACTGTTCTGCTCCTATACTGGGCTAATGAAGACGGGCATACGCCATACAGTGTGCTATGAGGGAAATTTTGCCCGGGCAGCGGCACTATCGCATACTCTTATATCGAATTCCAACTGCCAGGGGATCTTTTACGTGCATTCCAATATATACACGGGCCCTCGGTTTTCGTCTCATCCGAAGGACTAGACAGCTGTCCATGTCAGGCCCTCAGTGGGAACCTAGCATTACACATAGTATGTATACTATTTATAAAAAGGCTGGCATATACATATAAAACTTCAAGAACGATGTGTTAATTATGTGAACCCGCCAAATGAGAAGTGGTATCGAGTGCTCCGAGAGGAGTAAGCATACTCTGCCTCACTTACCAGATACTTCTCAAAGCTAACAATTCCATTTGTACATTTTATATTGTAAGTTAATATTTCATATATAATATTATCTGACATTTGCAAACCGTATTAAAGACTCCTTCAGCATCGGAATAGGGAACCATAGATCGGTCCGATGGCGTTTTAAGTTGAATTATTAGGTACCAATATAATTGTCTGATTATAATTGCTGTCCCAAATTACTAAATTATAATCCCATTTGAAGTCCCATGGCGACAGCGAGTTTGGGATGTTCAGGGACGATAACTGGCTGTTAAAATAAAATAAAACCAAGTACGAACAATCCAAACCATAAGACAGAATTCGAAGTCCTAAAAAAACGTTATAGGCAAAATAGTGTATTCAAGCAAAATAGTTTAATCAGCAAATGGACTGCTCCTCGTGTACAAAATACACGACAAACAGTGGTAACAGGTGTCCGGAAGAGTAAGCTTACCCTGCCTGGCGCCACACCCGCCATAGCTGCATCCAAACTATTAGGCGAAATGTCAGTAAAATAGCGTGATTGGCCAATGAACTATCGGTATGCAAAATGCAGGCGATGAACTGTGTTAACGATGTAGTAGACATTATCAGGGAGATAGTATACGTGTCAATTAAATATATCTAGAATAAAACATTATGTAAGAGCTCAATCTGTCTATTGCAGGTCTTTCTGTTGGCCTCAAATGTTATATAAATGGTTAATTAGACATTTTTTTTACATGTCAATCCCATTATTAATAGATGGAAACACGATCTCTATTTAATAATTTAATTTAAAAATGGATAATCGAGTGTTTGATTAGTATCGTAACAATGGTAGCAATGGAAATCGAGACTACTCTATTCTTACCAAAACTTCCAGCAGTTATAACTTTGCACGGAGCCACGGTGGGTAAGTGGGTAAGACGCTGGCTGGCTAGCCTAGAGGTTGGGTGTTCGATCCCTGCATTGGCCGAGCAAGTTCATCGGATTGTCCGACGTGGTTTCCCCTTGTCAGTGATGCAGGACGGAGGACCTGGTAAGGACAGCTGTCTAGTCGTTCGGTGGTATGAGAAACCGAAGTACCGTGTATACATTGGCAGTTGGAATTCAATGTAAGAGTAGGCCATAGGGCAAAATATCCTTCAGAGCACACTGTATGGCATATGCCCGTCTTCATTAGCTCAGTCGGAGCAGAACAGTAGGACGTTAAACCCCATTTAATAAATTTGATCAGAATCTATTCTTCACCTATTATAACAAGAACGACCAGCTCCGTATATAATTTCTACTTAATTAAACTCTACGTGTATTTTGTTAATTTTAGTATTATTACACCTGGTACGATATTCCTGCTAGTGCTTGGTGCTTTAAGAACAGCTTACGAAGACATCCCTCTATACGGTGCTTTAATTCTTAATCTAATTCCTGTATGTATATTTGTATTTCTGTGTTTAAAGGCACCATCAAAATACCAGGTAAATGTGACATTATTTATGAATAGTCCCAAGACGGACGAAAAGTACTTTAAATTGTAGATAGAAAGATAGAATTTTGTGGTGTACGGGGATAAGTAAAAATTCACCTTTCCGTCGACTCCGCCCACAAATAAGCTTTAACAAATCAGCCCCGATTACAGTTTTCTGCGGAGTGACGTCGCTTTGCCATACTTATTTACCTTAGACAAACTACCTTAACGTTGACAATCATGGTTAAATACATTGATCACACGAATGTCCAGCCCCTATTCAGACATAGAAACATTGATCACACGGATATCCAGCCCCTATTCAGACATAAATTAAATGGTATAAGTTAGTGGTGTACAGGGATAAGTAGTTATCGATCTGTGAAAATAACATGTCGGCGAACCAGCTTCATGATTACAGATTTTAATCTAGTTTGTATTCAATCGACAAGAGGTTGAAGAGGCGACCCTACTCCTTGTCACGTACAACCAGGGTATCAAAACCACGCCAGTTGACCCAATGACAGATATTGATATTTTCTGGAAATGTGTGTCACATAGTTGACCCACTGTATCGAAAAGTTCTGTATCGAAATGTTATGGGTCGGCAAATTCAATAACAATTTGCTTTCTGATCATAATGAGCTGTATTACACATTTTTATCCTTTCTTTACAGCTTGCATTTGCTGGAATTCTGTCTATTTTCTACAGTTTACTTATGATGTTAGTATTGGTCGGATTAATCAAACAAGTTGGTGATTATGGTTTTTGTTCTGTGACTACCATCTTTATGACCACGGTAGCTTCCATTTTTATTGTAGCTGCTTTTCTGCATCCACAAGAGTTTACCTGTATTCTCCACGGTTTTTTGTACTTTTTAACCATTCCATCTATGTCCATGTTATTGGTTATCTATTCACTGGCTAACTTGCACAACGTTTCTTGGGGAACTCGTGAAGTTAAACAAGCAGCTCCACCACCTAAACAACAGGTAAATAGGATATGTTATCCAACAGTTAAACATACATTATGCAAGAGCTCAATCTGCCTATTGCAGGTCTTTCTTGAGGCCTGAAATGTTATATTAACTATTAACAAAACAACTCATAATCAAACCTCGATGGCAATCGGGTACTCGAGATTTAAACTAGATTAGAACGGTTCGCCATATAAAAATTTAATTTCAAAATGGAATAGCGAGGCTAAGTCTCGAATATACCAGTGCCCTGGTTACAGAATGAAGTACTTTGAATAAAATTTTCAATATTTTCGTTTTACATTATAACGAGAATGGTCAGTTGTTTATCTAAATCTCACATAATGTATCTGTAAAGGAACAGAAATGAAATGAAATGGGGTTTAACGTCCTACTGTTTTGCTCCAAACTGGGCTAATGAAGACGGGCATACGCCATACAGTGTGCTATGAGGGAAATTTTGCCCGGACAGCGGCACTACGGCCTACTCTTATATCGAATTCCAACTGTCAAGGGATCTTTTACGTGCACGCCAATGTGTACACGGGACCTCGGTTTTTCGTCCCATCCGAACGACTAGACAGCTGTCCTTGTCAGCCCCTCCCTGTAAAGGAACAACTTGATACGAAAACTATACGGATGTTTCGTAGCTCTAGTTTGGTCCTCTATATTCCGATTCTGGTTTCTATGGATTTGGGCTATTCGATCTCTGTAAAATGATTTTGGGATCCTAAATATCAATGCTATCAATAGGGGTTAAATGGAAGAGGTACAATGACGCCCTTTGCCTCATGGGTTTATACTTTTTTCGCCCTCTTCCGTTTATGTCCCCACCTTGTCAAATTAAAAAAAATCACGTGGTCAACTCACAGTATCCAATTTACAGTATGCCCCACTACGGAGTGTTTATAGTTCCTTTTGCAAAATTGTCTAAAATAGTCTACTTATAGGATGCATAATTCATGCAAGAGCCCGCTCAAAGTGATAAAACCCAAGGGGTAGCATACACGAGACTCTTTGATTAACTTATTCTTTAAATCGAGTGCTAGTTTTTTGGTATTCCGTCTTTACTAATAAACAAACGTATCTATGTACCTAATCGAAACATTGAATTTTAAATGTTGAACTGTTCTATTTGCTTTTAGGATAATACATCTCCTCCCGTTAGACAGAACATGCTGCACCAGTTTGTGGGAAAGGTTGTCGATAGCCACAATCTGGAATCAGACTTTGGTTTCCGCTGTGGTAACATGTTTACATGTGCTTGTTGCCCATCTGAGAATAGTTCCCGAAGTACAATGGACAAGGTAAGAACACGAATTTCGTAAAATAAAATGACAAAGTGTACCATACGTTCAGAGAGAGAGAGAGAGAGAGAGAGAGAGAGAGAGAGAGAGAGTTTAACGTCAACTCGACCAAAACCTGGTCATTTCGGGAATAACATATGGTTCAGTTGCGCGTAGGGTCTTTAGCAGTGGGGGGAAGCCGGATGACCCGGAGAATACCCACGAGGTTGGACAGGCAACCATACTCCTTCTCACGCACAACTGTGGAATCAAAACCACGCCAGTTGACCCAATAACAGCCTTATGATACAACGCACACGAGCTAACCATTCGCCCCCCCCCCCCCCCGGATGGACAATGGGTTAAAGTTATATTAAGTAGTGGTTCATATCTGTTCCAAGCGATGTTTGTTCGGCCAAAATGTGCGGATATTAATAATCAGAGCTTGTTCGGGCAATGATATATATACTATTCAAAAAAAGTAGGGGATATTTGATTTTGGGGGCATAATACTAGCAAATGACTACGAAAAAAGTCACTATAGAACCTAACAGAAGAAACATTTCCAGTTACATGTGACGCCCAAACGCACCAATAGCTACCGCATGGAATGCAGGTGATGCTTGGGATCATCATGGGGGTCCAACCCAAGATTTGCACGACTCTGACTTTGAATGTTACAGTCATTGTGGCATTGAATTCCAGGGTGGAAACATCAGTTTAATTGTTTTAGTGACCAGAAAACAAATTTTGATATGCGTCGGCTTACCCAAAATGAAAGGTTACGTGCCCTTGGCATGCTACAGATCGGCACAACACAGGCGGTTGTGGCGCGGACGATGAATGTTTCTCAGTCTGTCATAAGCAGGCTATGGTCCAGATACCGTGATACACAATCTGTACAGGACAGACCACGCTCAGGTCGACCAAGGGCGACAACTCAAGCCCAGGATCGATTTATCCGTACCTTGGCCTTTAGAAATCGTGTCATCACAGCAAATCAGATCAGCGCTCGTCTTCAAACAGACACTGGTGTGAGAGTGAGTGGCCAGACGATTCGGAATCGACTGCATAGGGGTCACCTTCGCGCCCGACGTCCTCGCGTGATCCCTTGTTTGAGAGATCATCACATTCAGGCAAGACGTCGTTGGTGTAGGGATCGTCAACACTGGGATAATCGACGCTGGATCAATGTGATGTTTTCAGATGAGTCAAGGTTCACTGTTGATTTTTTGGACAGACGTAGGAGGGTGTGGCGTCGTCGAAACGAGCGCTTCCAAGACGTTAACGTCATCAGACATGATCGATTTGGGGGTGGTTCTGTTATGGTGTGGGGAGGCATCACTGTTGCTGGAAGAACGGCTTTACATGTTGTTGCAGGGCGTGTTACAGGCCAGTACTACCGAGACAACATCTTGGCAGTCCATGTTGTGCCGTTCGCACGACGTCATGGCCGCCGTTTCATCTTCCAGGATGACAACGCAAGATGTCACAGGGCCAGGATCGTTACAGGTTACCTCCAACAACCACATTACCTTGGCCAGCACTGAGTCCCGACCTCTCCCCCATCGAGCATGTCTGGGACATGCTTGGACAGAGGTTACGTCAACGTCAACAACGTCCTGCCAATGTCCAAGAACTTGCTGCTCTGTTGCAACAGGAATGGGACAATCTGGACCATAAATGACCTTAGACGTGTCATTAGGAGTATGCCACGTCGGATCAATGCTTGTTTGGCAAACAGAGGAGGATTTACCCGTTACTGACTTGGTTGTGATGCTGTGGTAACTTTGCTGTTTGACCCCGGGTATCATTTTACCCTTATAATGGTCAGTCTGTGCCTTACTTAGTCTAACGATCATTTGGAATAAATCGATGAATGTGAACTTCATTTCATTTTGTCATTTGTTTCTTCGTCAGTTTCATTAGGTGACTTTAATAACACTTAAAAATCAAATATCCCCTACTTTTTTTGAATAGTATATTTGGGAAAATTAACAATCCTACGCACCTACTTTTCATTACATTTGTCCTATGCTCTTTGAAGACCCTTCAAATTAAAGATACATTATGGGAGATTTGGTAACGAGTTGGCAGTTCTCACTAAAATATTTAAAAACTAGATAATGTAAAGGCAATTTGCTGAAAATTTCATTCAAATTGATCCACTATGAACCGATCACTAAGCGACTGAAATTCCCATAAGCCTCTGTCATCATTACTAAAGTCAGTACGATAAACAGCATAGTCTTGATTATCCATTTAATCGTTTAATCGAGAAGGAAAGTTATGCAGTAAATCGGCTTACAATCCACTAAAGATCGCAGACTAGCGCTGCCATCTAGAGTTGATTATGGCCTGGATAGGTTAATTAATGACATCGAGAGATGGTTATGGTCTGGATAGGTTAATTAATGTCTAATTAATAATTTAGATAACATTTCGGGCCTAAAGAAAGACCTGAAATAGGCAGATTTAGCTCTTGCATCATGTATGTTTAACAAACTGTTATTTATGCCTAGGTTATTCTGGCCCGTTTAGAGGAGTTAGATGAAAAGATCACAGTACTAGCTAGTGTTGATGGTAGTATCAGAGATGTTAGTGATCTACCTACAGATTCCTCACAACCACCCCCCTTCTCCAAAGATTTAGATCTCTTTGAAGGTGCTGGTGAACGAGGTGAGAACAGATTCGAATAGATTAGTTGTTTGTATATTACAATACCCGGATTAGGGATAAACTGCTGTATATAATGAAATGAAATGGGGTTAAACGTCCTACTGTTCTGCGCCGACAGTGCTAATGAAGACGGCTACTGTATATATGAACACTGTATATATATGAATACCGATGCGTTTAATAATACGAATAACAAACCCATCAGATGTTATATGGTTAAAAACATAGAACCTTATGATCTGGTTTGTGTTATATGCTTGATAACGACTTGTGAAATCTTGTTGAAACGTCGCAGTGAAATAAACCACAGTAATTGTTATCCATAAATAGTGTGTTATTTGATTATGTTCCAATTACTAAATGCCATTTAAAGAATAAAGAAGAAAATAACCCACGTGCTTATCGTACGGAGGCTGTGGGTAGACATTCGCAACGCTAGAAAACATAATAAAGTCATAGCTAGGGTAAGAAAAGCACTTGTATGTCCTCCTGACACGACCTATAATACCTTGAAATTTGTAATATTATGACTTTATTTTTCAGAAAATCGAGGTTTTGAAGACGAAATCGTCAAGATTAAGGAAAATACGCATTCTCCTTTCTGGATAAAAGATGATGATCTTGGCGATGGAGAGATTATAATGTCAAGCGGAGATGAAGATTCATTTTGGGAAGAGTTAATATCTCTCTATCTCTTCCCTCTTGTGGAAAATAAGGACCACAAGAAAAAGATTCAAACAGAGCTCATTGAGCTAAGGAATAAAGTCTGTCTGGCATTTTTGCTCATCAACGCCCTTTTTATTATTCTAATCTATGCACTGGAGACTATATCAGAGAGTAGTGACAATCTGTCTTTTGAAATTCCTTGTGATATACCGAACTTCAAGGGGGAACGAGTGGAACCTATTTCAATGACTTTCACCCTTGTCTTTGGCGTTATGTTATCACTACAGTTTACTGCTATGCTATTTCATCGCTTTTCCACCTTTCTTCACATTGCTTCGATAACCAACCTCCACATCAAAACTGGAATGTCAAAAAAAGGTGACCAAC